GTATAATAATGCAAATGAAAAATAACTATAGAAAATTTAATGTACAAAATTAGGGCACATTACTAATAAGTTCATCAAGTGATACTTATTCATGAAGGGGTCAAGATAAAAAACACTTTTACAAAAAAATTCGACATTATTTAGAAGTGTCTAAAAGACTAAAATACCCCTTCACATTTTAATATGCTCCAATTTCATCCTTAAATTCAATTTAACTTCAAATTGACCTCAAATTTCACGAATTGTTCAATTTTGACCCAAAACTCAATTTTTAGTATAATTTTGTCCGTCGCCGCCGTTGACTACCGATCTCCGGCGTTGACTTTTTTGTTTTCTTATTTTTCTGCCGATTTTCGGCGTTGATTTTTTATAAAAAAAAATTCTCCTGCTTTTTCCGCTGATTTTCAGAGTTAACTTGTTCATTTTTATTTTTTTTATTTTTTTATACAACATATTTTTACCCATTTAAACAGTAATATTGTTGTGATTGACCGTCATATTAACTATATTACGGTTTAACACAATAATATTAACTATATTATTGTTTCACACAATAATATTAACCATAGTAATAGTGTTATATTACTCTCTAGCACAATAATATTAACACAACAAAAATCACTACTATTGTGTAATAGACCAATATTAATATGTTGACCGTTCAACAGAGGCAAACATAATAAAATTCCAAAAAAAATAATATTGATATGGTTGACAGTAATATTACCAGTAATATTACTGGCAACCAGAATAATATTATTGTGTTTATAGTAATATTACAATAGTAGACAGTAATATTATTACGTTAAATCAAACAAAACAAAAGGGCCAAAAAATAATATTGATGTGATTGACAGTATTATTATTCTGTTTACAGTAATTTAACGTCAACGACAGTAATATAATTATGTTGACTTGTCAACAAATTAAACAAAATCAAAAAAAGTCAAAAAAAAAATAATAATATTATTGTGGTTGACAGTAATTGTACTGTCAATTGACATTACAATTACTTAAATTTATTGTCAACGATACGTAAATGTACTGTCGCTTGACACTAAAATTACGTAAATGTACTGTCAATGACCGTACAATTAATGTCAGCTAAAATATAATTACTGTTTGTGATAGTACAATTACGGTCAACGTTCAGTAGGCGTAAAAGACAAATGATAAAAAAAATTGGGAAAAAAAAATTAAAAGTCAACGCCGGAGTCCGACGGTCAAGCCGGAGATTGGCGGCGGAAAAGGCAAAAAGAAAAAATTAAAAAAAAAAAAGAAAAAAAAAATATCAACGCCGGAAATTGACGGCAAAAAAAGTTTTAAAAAAAAAAGTCAAAATTGGATTTTTGAGATCAAAATATATAAGAATGAAGTCAAATTACAATTAGGAATTGAGTTAAAGTGATTGGTTAGAGACTTATTCATACAAACCCTACAAAATCAAACTATAAATGTAGCTATATTAAGAGCATCTCCAACCGGACACCATAACACCATTTTTTCATCTAATTTAGGTGTTTTTAGCCTCCCACCTAAAATTCCTATATCACCATTACACCTAAAATTATAGAGATTTGGTTTTAGCCTCCAACCGTGGTCAACCCCCATATCACCAAATACTCAAATCCTATTTTTCCACCAAAATTTTTGGTGAAGAAATTTTCATCTCCCACCGGTCCACCATTTTCCTATTTTTTCCACCAAATCCTATTTTTCCTACCAAATATAGAGGTGAAAATAGGATTTGCCGTAATTAACACCATTTTATTAAGTACCATATAAAATGACGATTTTAACTAATTGCACCCGATTACCAACTTATTAGCATACTTATCGTAAATACATTGGTATTAATTATTAAATTAGTTTTTAAAATATAAATACATTTGTTATTATTAACAAAACATTAACTCTAAAAATATAAATATGCTTATTTTTAATTAATTTGTTTATTTTGTTGGTATCAACGTTTATTAGTTCGTTTCTTTACTTAACTAATACGCTAATTGCTATTAATAAAATACAATAAACAACAATAGAATAATTAACAAAACACACTTTAATTGATGAAATACAGGACGGGACATTTAAATTGAAATACATAGCTCAGAAAATAACAAACAACATAACATGATAACAAAACATGATAAACAATAACACAAATTATATAAATTTAAATCATAATAAACTGCTTATTTAAGTTCTCATGCCGTACTTAATAGTCTCTATTGTCATAGTTGTTGTCGTTTGGAGATTCCGGGACATAAACATCTTCATCGGTTCCTCCACTTCCCCATGTACTTAATAGTCTCTGTTTATGTATGATTTTATTATATTTAAAATAATTTGAGTTCATGTTATTTCATGTTTAGACAATTTTTTAAGATTAATAACATAATTTTTAAATTATTTAGTTGAGAAAATTTATTACTTAGCATTGGTTCTATAATTAATATTTACGAAATAAAATTTTATAAAAGAGTAAAAAGCAGTTTGCCCCCTAAATTAAGGACCGATTTGCACTTTACCCCCCAAACAAAAAAAATTTGCACGTTTTTACCTGAACTCATTAGTTCGTTGCACGGTGCCCCCTAAACTCAATTTTCCGGCAATTTTGTCCGGAAAGTTAAAACATGTGCCTTGCACATGACATTCGCAGGGGTATATTCGTCCATGCAGTTATATGTTGATGAACCCATTTTTTCACCAACCCATTTTTTCACCACCATAAATAGGATTCGGTGAAAAAATGGTGAAACCGGTTGGAGATGCTCCAAGAGACTCGTATTTCGTATTCCATTGACGATGACCTT